TTGCTTTACTAAGAATTAGTTTTGCATGAATTGATAAAAATGATAAAATATTGTATTTCATTTATTTATAGATACAAAATTGTCATTTAGATATAAGAACAGTAAATTACAGAAATTAATTCAAATCATTCTTTAAAGTTGAATTATAAGAAACGGATTTTTTTTTTTAAGTAGGGTTTATAAATTTGAAATGTTTAAATATTTTAAATTTAATTAATTTAATTTAATCATATTATTATATGCTTATATGCGATACATACAATTGTATTTCGTTACAATATTATATGAAAGTTATATAATTTGCATTTCGCGCGTAAATAAATTTACGTCTAAGGAAATGCATTTACAATGCTTTAAAGTCTTTTTATGAGGTATTAATAGAAGTGTCGCAAAGCCCCATTAGGTAGCATTCGCACACGCTATATTCGCAGAATACTTACAGATAATCAAATACTCATTTTTACCTTTAGTCTCACTTTCGCTTTCTCACTTCTCACTCTGTCTGTCTGTCTGTCTCTCTCTCTCTCTCTCTCTCTCTCTCTCTCTCTCTCCCTCCCATCTTTCGACCTCTTATTTCATTTACTTTCTCATCTTCTTTCATTCAGGTTCACTCAGCCACTTACTCTCCCTCTCTCTTTTACCCCTTCCATTTTTCTCCCTCTCTATCTCTCTTCTCTCATTTCTCACTTTTTTCCTCGTCTCTATCTCTCTTTCTATTTTATTTTTTTCTCTCTATCTTTTTCTTTTACTCTATTCTCTGCTATTTTCCATTATCATTCTCTACGCTTTCCTTTACTGCAATAAAGTAATACGGTTCTGTCTACTAATTCTGTTTAATCAATTATCATAAAACAAAACGAATAAGATGCGAATTTTTATGTACTCTACTTTTAATATATTTAACAGATTAATCTGTCGATTGATTATATTTAAGCGAGCTGATCATTAACTGCGGGTTCCAGCAAAATGCTTAAATTTAAAAGTCTTTCTTAAGTTTTAATCTAAGAATCTTTTTTATAATATGGATTTCCATTTAAATAAATATTTTACAACTATAAATAAATTTATTATTCTTATTTTATTATTTATGTATAAGACATCTTATGAACAAATATAAGATTTTTAATTTAACAATTATCGTATAAACCACATTATAATAAGATTCCTTATTGGAAATATATAATAAAATAATGTCTATATATAAAATATATAAAAAATAATTATAGCATATTTTCTAAATTTATAAATAAAAGATAAAGCTGATTTATTTATCTATATTTTTGAAACTTGATCAATAACATTCATCTTTTAATTAATAATTATTTTTATGAAAATTAAAATTCAACTTTTATTAATTTTTATTATCTTTTATTAAATTAATGTTAGATATTAGATGACGATTTGGATAAACGAATTAGAATTGAAAATATAACATCAGGCATGAATTAATATTTAAGCAATAATGAATTATTTTAATAAAAATACTAAAAATAAATTACTGAATGTATTTTAAAAATTGAATACATTGAATAATATATATATATATATATAGATAAGATTGCGTTAAAATTATAGAAACGTAACGTCTGGTAGGCAAGCAAGCGAATAATTTAAATTAGAAGTAAGAATAGGAAAAAGTACAAGAAACAATTTTAATCCTCTCGTGGCCGAAATCATACCTATGTATCTTCGACAAAAAATATTCAAGGAATCAGGAACAAGTTCCACCTTAGGAGTCGCCATATATTGCACTGCAAATCTTCCCGAGCGAATCGCAGTTGCACGCACGCCTATTTCTGTTTCAAAGAGTGATTTACAATAGACACGCTCGGTGGCCTCTTACATTTCGACAAAAAAGGCGCGAGGATGTTCACCGTTGCGCTGGGAAAAACCTATAACCGCGCGAACGTGTTTCATATAAATGAGACTTCTCGGTATATAAAAGCTCTTCCTAGCATCATATTGCTAATTAGATGCTTCTATTGGACGCCATAAGAAATGAAGTACGATTATAATACTGGCTTAAACTTAAATAGCGCTTTTTAAAATGTTTGCTTCAGAATAGTTTGAACAGGATTATAAAATCTGAAAATATATAGTTTATAGATAAAATATAGCCCGTAATAAAACTTGTGACGAGAAAAACAATTTTAATTATGAAAGACTGATTTTGATTAAATTTCTCAATAAACATTACGTACTATTATATCATAATATATCATATTCTATTATAAAAGATTTTTATTTATTTAAGATAGTAATTTTTATTTAGTATAGATTAAAAAATTTATAAGTTAAAAAATGCTTCTCCATAATTTATGTATAACTTTATAAATGTGATTTTTACAAAAATATATTTTTAATTAATATAAATTTCAAATTTGAAATTAATCTTCGCTTAAATATTGTTATTCATCGAATATCAATATAAGAATTGCATAAATAGTTCAAAATGAAAGTAAAATGTAAGAGTATCATTATTTGTAAAATTGTATGTAATAGAACTGCACGAGCAAAATGTAAAAGTGGATAATTAACTTACATGTATACAGGTTGGTATTTATTCGAATTACACTGCAAAAAGACTTTTATCAAATATATATTGTTTAATGATTCGATAAAATATGAGACAGGTATTTGAAAAATTGAAAAAAATATGGACGGACATCACTTTTCATTTTCAAATCACTTCAACGCATAATTAATTATACATAATTATAAATCCCATCTGTAATCATTTTTGATAAAATTAAGAAAAAATCATTGCTCTAGACTTGATAATAAATTAATAGTTATTAAAATAAATGCATATTACCAATTAAAATTTGTAATATTATATAATATATATATATATATATATAAATGTTCAAGTATGGAATTCTAAAACCATTGAATCTATTGAAATATTAATACATGTATGCATTTATCGTTTCTATATAATAGTATAAACTTATAATTAATAACATACACATATTTACTGTATACATATTTTAAATATTAAATATTTTATTTTTACAAGATTTTAATATAAAATTACATAATAATTTATTATTCTATGTTAAATAAATAATTATAAAAGTAAAATTTTTATATTTTCATTATACATTTATATTCAACATCATCAGTCTATTTCATTATAATTCTAAACCAAAAACTTATGCTATATTTTAAATTAACTCGCACACAGTCGGCAAGTCTGTAATGATTATAAAATATCTATTTGATGGCATATTTATTGAAGAAAAAAAAAGAAAAAAAAAATAGCTCAGGAAATTACTGTGAGCTATTAAATATCTTTTAAATAGTTTTTATCTTATCTTTTATAAAATAAATTTTGCATTTTCATAATGCTATAAAATTACTACTGAATGCTGCTATCTAGTATAAGCAGTTACTCTCTAACTAATAAAATTTCAATATACTTCTTACGATGTGTGAGAATTTATTTATAACGAGTTTAACTTTTTACTAAAAAATTCAATATATAAAATAAAAAACTTATGGACTATCAATCCACTGTATAAATTAACTCATTTACAAAAATCTTATCACACAAATAATAGAAAACAACTTAAGGTAGCCCTAATACAACTATCAGAATATTTTTTTATGTATTATTTATAAAATTACTTATCGAATACAGTATATATGAAAAGATATATAAAAAAAAAAATTTTTTACTAAGAAAAACTAGGGCTCTTGAATATTAAAAACCAATTAATTAAAATATGGTTAATAGTGTGTAATCAAAACTGACATCATACAATATAACGCAAATATTAATGATCATTCATGTATTAAAATTGTTGAGAATAAGAATGAAGTTAATTTGTAAAATTAAGAAAAAAAATAATAATTTGTTTAAAAATTTAATATTTTATAACTAAAATTTATTAATTATATTTTATTGAAAATATTGTTAATAAAAAATTTACTTTTAAATTACCAAAACTAAACAATAATAAATGGATTTCTTTTATTGTATTCTACAGAAATGAAACTGTATTAATAAATCAGCATTGAATTTATGTTTATATTATTGATCTAGCATAATCAAGTTGGAAGTATTAAAAAAAAAAAGTGAGTTCTAAAATGAAAATTTTTTTAAATAGTCATATTGTCTGTTTAATAAAACATTTCAATTTGAAAAAATATTCAATACTATTTCGTATATTCGCATTACGTTATTTTTCTAGTAATGATTATTCAAAATATTATTTTTTTTTTTTGATATATAAATAATTTTAAACTCTACTCATTTATAACTTTTTACATTCTATGAAAATGAATCATATTTTATTACTTTATAATAAAAAGCATTTACAATACAATGAAGTGAGATGTAATATATTCAAAGATATCCTTTATCTAAGTTGCATGTATACTTAATTCATTTATTTAAGTGAAGGTGATATATCGATATTTTTTTGTTTGTTTTGTTTTGACTAGCATGACATTAGGACTACCTTAAAGTAAATTGCTATCGTCCATCAAATATAAATAATAAGATGCATACAAACACGATTAAATTGTTAGACAAATACGTCGTCGGTTAAGTGACTATTTTTTGGAAAGATGTGTGTGTGTGTGTGTGTGTGTGTGTGTGCGCGCGCGCGCGCGCCCGCGTGCCTATACATACACGAAGTATTTAGAATCTAAGGTACAAAATTGAAGTATCCTTGCAACAAATTATCTAAAATACTAGATAATACACGCTGTTAATAATCACTGCTAAGTCTTTAAATGCCTTCTAACAGTTTGAGTAATAAATAGGATAGATATTTAATTAATAAAACACATTGACCTTTGACATATACTAGTTGTGCAGTTAAAAAGTATGTTTTTCCTATTTTGTTGAAAGAATATATAAACAACGTTATATCAGAAATACCGAATTGAAATAATTCATCCAGACTCTGGCAAGTAATATTCAAAGTTAAAAGAGAAAAGAGCAGGCTGAATTGGCCCTAAAAGTATTTTTTGGAATAAAGCACCAATCGTGCATGTGCACTCAGGCGCGATCTTACGAGTAAAAACAAGAGGGCTTATTGCTAGACTTGACCGGGGTGGTCCCAATAGTGCGGACAGCAAAACCCCTAACAGCGACGACCTCTGGATCAAGCTTCTTCCTGAAAGGTCTTAGCCGTATACAGAGATACGTCGAAAGACCACAAGAGGCAAGAAGCACAGCGAGCAGCAGAAGGAGCGTCAGTGCGAAGCCAGACGTCGTCAAGCAAATGAGGTTTGCCCCGTTGGATGATTGGGAATCGCGCACGGGGAAGACCATCGTCGGGGAGGGGTCGCTCGAGTTTGCTCCATCGATGGCGAAAGTAAGGTCGCCCGTGGAGACGACGCGGATGACGCGGTTCACACCGACGGCTTTCGCTGGCGCCGGAAGCTCTCGGGTCTTCCGACGACGCTCGTCCCGTGGTCTCCCCGCTCCCGCCGTCTGTAACAAACAATTAATTACGTATTTATGTACTTGCAAGCTTTCTTCGATCGTCAAAAAGTTTTGAATTCTTCTGTGGACTTCTCCCACCTTGTTGCAGGAACCCTGGGAATTCCGCTTTATCGAGCGGCGATGAAAATTCGGCTCTTTCTCGCCGAATTCTTTTCTTTATCAAAAATTGAAAAGTCGCATAATTCGGATTTAGATAATGCCAATGAAATATCCTCATCTCTTTCAAACTTTTGTCTTCAAATTTTATTACCCTTTGAAGCGAAATCTCCCTATTACTAACAATCAAGTGAATGCGCACTTTACTTTCAATTCTATTATTCAATATCAACTGGACTATTTCATTATTATTCGTTGTACTTCAATTAATTTTATATCTACAGATGCATCTCATTGTATTGATCTTTTTTTCACATTAACGCACAAAGTAGCCGCCAAATGAATATAATATTTTCGAAAAAATTAAAAATGTAAAACAAATTTATTATTACTTTAATATTAATTATAGAACAATAGTAATTATAAATCTCATATTAAAAAGGAATTTATTGAAAATTTAAGACTATAATAAATGGATATTTTAAATATTTTACCGTACATATTATGAAAAGCTATTACTGATATATTTTCTATTTATAAAATAACACAAACGTATTATCTCGTTAATAATGTCAATGTCGACTCATAAAACATTTAAGTCTACAGCAATAGGATAAAATGACTATATTAAGATCTGCATTAATCTTTCAATAAATGACATCAATAAATAATAGACAATATAATTATTTTATTTCGTAGATAATATTTTTTCAACAAGTATTTTTTCAAATCAAATCTTGTGAATTACTAATATGCCTCGGTGTTCCATATGTATAAAATATCATACTCTATTTTAATTTACGCAAGGAATGTATATGTAGGTCATACATTATTTTGCAGTAAAATCTTGTTATATTTCGTACACTTTAACAACACTTACAACAAATGTCTTATTGACCAATAAATTCTTCGGTTTAATTGAATGGATTAATTAAGTAATTGACTAGACTCATTCATATGCTAAATAATGATATCAACGTCATAAATGTTTTGAAATTGAATCTAATCAAAGCCAGAAAAAGAGAATAAATAAATGTTTACCTGAAGATAAGTTTCAAGAGGTAATGCAATCGGTGGCGGTGGTATACCGTAAACCGCTACATCGGCATGTCCGATGGAAGCCCGATGGTTCTCCAGTAGGAAACCATCCTGTTGAAGCAGGGATGGTGCCGAATCCGAGCATTGGTCGGGACATTGATAGCGACATATCTGTATCGTACATTGGAAGTGCACTTCCATCGAGTCGGGGAACTTGAAAGCCTGGAAATGCGCGTAGGAGAGGACTGAAGCGCTAGCTCCAAAATTCTTGATCTTCGTAAATCGAGACATAAGCTTTGGCCTGGTGATGCAACCACGCTGGTCAACTAAGTTAATGGAGAAAAAAAAATGGAATATATATATATATATATATATATATATATATCGATATATTTTATAGATGTGACATGTGAGAAGCGAGAGTCTATTAATCTTTCATTCAACGATATTCTTAAATTATTCGACTCAAATATCATATTTCTGTTTCCCAGTCTAGGAATGAAATTTCATAAATTTTAACGTAAATCCATGTGATACAATAATAGTTATAATAAAATCTCTAATATATCAATATTAAATTATTTTTATTAAAAGTTTCTTTCTATATAAATTAAACAATGATGTTTTTAAAATTCTTTTAAATAGAATTACTAAGATTATTATAATATTATAATATAATAAAAAAATAACTGTTAAAAAGTATTTCTATGCAGATTATTATGATATATCAATGATACGAATTTAGTATACTTGCTATATTATATATAATTATGTATTATTATATCTTTAAGTTCTTTAAGATTTTCATGGATAAGTAGTGAAATTCGTTAGAAATGTTAAAAATTAAAAGTTTCAAGTGTACTAAATTAACCTAATCTAATTAATATTAAATCAATAACCGATAATTCAATAATGAATACTATAACAATATCACAATATCACTAGATAATCTCGGCGGGTGGCAATTATATTTTCGTATTTCAAAAGTTATTATTTCAAAAATAAAGGGGAAAAAATTTTTCCAATATTATCATCGACAAACAAATGAAAACAAATGACGAATTTCCACCTAATTGTATAGGCGCCCTTTTGCCGTCATGGGCCATGCAATTGCGCACGAGCATATCGAATTTCGAGTCGTCATCCTTGATTGCCAACACCATCGTCATTGTTTGGCCGATCTTGACGAGGCCGGAGACCTCGGAAGCCCAAGGGCCCCTACCAACTTGTATCTGCATCCAGCAGCCGACATTGTCACCGGCAAAGTCTGCCCGCACGACATCGAGCATGTCCACTGGGAAGGGGCGGAATGTCACCGACTTCTCATAAAGGTCATGCCACGTGCAGCGGAGTTTACGAGCTTGATCCCAGACCTCTTGTACCTGACGATAGTAACATAGCCGTATATGGGAATCAATACCTTGCAATATTCTATTATAACAAATCGACCCATTGTGTACGCTCGTACGTATACGAATCAATATATTAAGGCATTTAATATTGTAATATTATATGTTGAGTCAATTTAAGCATTAAAACTATAGTGCAGATATTATTTTTGGCAGAATTTTCTATAGAAATATATATTATTAATGAAACATTTCTTTAATTGAAAGAAATTTCTTTTAGAATTATAAATCTATGCTGTCTATCAATTTTTATATTATCTATTAATATAAATAAAACTCTTCGAACTTCGTCTTTAAAAAAATCCATATATTAATCAAAATTTTTTATTGAATAAATTTTTATATATTATGGAATTAAATAAATCGAAGGGAATAAAATATATTGTTAGTTTAATAGAATAGCCATAATCTATTGAAAATTCCGAGAATTAAATGCATAAAATGAAATTAAATAAAAGCATAAGATTAAATATATATTTTAATAAACACTAATATGCGAAAACTTTAGGTGACTTGAGTGTCTCTTTCATCTAATAATTCTCGTCATTGCTCGAGAAAGATAAGTAATCCATTAAATTCGACATATTTGTCAATTGAATTATTTAATTGAATAAAGCTCAGTAGAAGGAGAAACTTTGATAATAATAATCACAAAGTTAATTAATACTATAAGACTTACGACTAAATTTCATATTTAACTTTGTCTTATACTGTAGCTGATATCGCAGCTTAAATTCATCTTGAATTTGAACTTCAACCACTAAATCAATTATAATTTAAACTTATCTTATTTTAACTTATCTTTATCTCATATTATTAACTTATGGACTCAGTACTTATGCACAGTTGATTCATCGATTATATTTTAATTAAAATTAATTATATAAATAACTGTTCTAACTATAGTTATACAACTGCTTATAAGTTTAGATAAATAAGCGGAGTATATAATAAATGTGATTTAAAAACTAACCTGCGGATCGTATTGTATGACGACGATATTTTCAAAGTACGTGCCTGACCCGGACTCCGTGCCGTAGCCGTAAAGTCCATTCTCAGTATTACCAGCAGTACCACACGCGTGTATGCCAATTTCGAAGTTGACAGACGTGCGCCCGAGGCCCGCCGGCAGATGCACGCAATTTACATTACTGTAATGACCCTTACTGAACACGATGCCATAAAAGGGTTTGTCGAACCCAAGATATACCTTCATTGAATTCTTCTCGCACTTCACATCGAGCGAAACGATTTTCGGCATGTCGTTGCCCTGAATCGGCCAATTCTCGCCACCACCCAGAGCTGCGTTGCCCGCGGTAATCGCCGTGTCGAAGATCTTGTCGATACTCTCTTGTGGACGCTGCTGCTGCTGCTGCTGCTGTGAACTCGACGACTGTTAATAATAAATAAAAGAAGGATTCGATTATTATTTCTCAATCTCATTGATCACATTGATCAATATTACGATATTTTTCCTCTCATTTTATAATAATCTTGCATACAAAAAGCTTTACCATACAAAACTATGTTTTTAATATAATTTATACTACTTTGAAAGCTTTTAGTCTCCGATTGTTGAAACACTATTATTCAAGGGAGAGAAATATATTTTTTAAGAAATTAAATAATATATTTCTACTATCTTTTAAAGTTATTGTATAATCTCACCTCACATTATTTCAAATGATGAAATAAACAGTATTAGATATAGTAAAACTTTCAGTAAAATAGTAAAATCAATGTTAATATTAATTTAAGATAAAAAATTTTATTACTTTGTATTATTAAAATGATTTAATTTAAATAAATAAGATTTTTAATTTTCATAATTTACTTAAAAATATTAAATCTTGATTTAATTAACTTTAGATGTTTGATATAAAAGAAGCAGAAGTAAAATAGTTGCAACAGATGTACCACTTTATTAGGATTATAAGATTATAAAATTCTACGTCCATATATTGTCGTAAATATTAAACAGTTAGAAAAATATAAAATACAATAATGATGTTTTTGACATTAACAAATTATATTTCATATGAGTTTTTTAAAATTTTTTTACTAAATAAATAATATATCAACATAGCTTGCTATGTTACCGCTTCAGCATTCGCCCATTTTCTTCATAATTAATAATAAAAGTTTTTCAATAAAATGACAATCCAAGTATTAAATCTTGCATAATAATATAGTACTATTAAATAGTAAATTGTTTATGTACATAAAGTTTCTAATGACAAATTTCTTATGATAAATTGATTGAAATTTACAAAAAATACACATGTATACACACGATTATATATTCTTATTGCATAAAAAATGTCATCATTATAGTTTATTATTGAATTGATTTACACATTGCCATTGATAATTACAATTGTTAATATTAAAAATTTTAATTCTATCTAACTTAGTTAATTTTAAGATAGTAGATGATCAATCTTGTGGTAGTTAATAAAAATTTTGAATTAGTCTATAAATTTTTGGCATGTTACCCTGTATATGTAATGAAATATTTTATTTCAAAATCAGACAAATCAAGAACTTTGAACGAATTACACATATTAACAGTATCGCGTACATATATACATATGTAATACTCCCAAGTGGATTCGTCAATATATAATACAATAAAATATTTACGACACTTTTAATGTATTGTACAATGTTATTATTATTTTGAAAAAAACTTGAAAAAAATTTTTAATACTGATGATACCAAGAAATTTTTTTACATAAACTATATGTAGAAAACTGTGCCTATAGATGAAGTTAATTTTTTATATTGTTCGATTGAAAAGTCAATAGTATATAAAGTTAACTATTATAATATAACTAAATTAACTTTTAAAAATCAAACAATTTCTATGATACTAGATGCAGGTACTGGACATTATACTACATATAAATTATTAACAAAATCAATAGTTAATTTTATAAATACATAATTCTATCATAAGTTTTTTAATTTAATAAGTATTTTATTAAAGATACAAAATTGTTATGTAAAAATTTAATTATGTAAACATTTTAATTAAAAAATCGATAGAAAACCTTATTAAAATTTCTAGGATGATATCTATAAGTTACTATATCTAAGAATCTTAGGTGAATAAATCAGTGTTAAGTGTATCAAGATGCAGCTGCAATTTAAATTTGCAGCGTTATCCACATACATAAATATAGAAACATCGTAAAAATTACTTTTAAAATTTGTAAAAAGTTTTTTCTAACTACTTCGTCGATTAGTGTTATAAAATTCTTTAAAACTGCCGACTATTTCAATTAAACAACTTTAATAAAATTATGCTATAGAAATACATGAAAAAAACGATATCATTTATCTCAAAAGCATAATCATACATGAAATGACGAAACGAAATTTCAACGAAGCGAAATTTTTTTTAATTTTTGATATTTTTTCAAATAAATTTATTAAAATGAAGAAATTATCCTTTTCAAATGTACCTGTCAACTCAAAAGCATTCATTTCTCATCTTACAGTCAATCTAAAGCAATTTAGATTCTTGCACAATATCAATTAAGTCGAATGAATATTTATTGAAATATAGTAAATTCGTATGGCTGTAGCCTCATTTTTTTTCCACAAGCGTTTTTTTTTTCCTAAGAGTTAAACATGACATCTCCGTAATCTTACTGTAGCAGATGATGACGGTGGTGGTGGCGGAGGGCCATGATAAGCAATGTTATGATGGACGCGTTGAGGAGAGGCGCCACGACTCGGAGAATGCGGATGATTTCGATGATTCGGTGCATTGTATTCGTATGAACTCCCAACACCGCCGCTCTCATTCTCATTTGCTAGTACATCAAGAACTGCCGCCATCTGATCTACGGACGATTGCTGCTGCTGCTGCTGCTGCTGCTGCTGCTGCTGCTGCTGCTGCTGCTGCTGCTGCTGCTGTTGTTGTTGCTGCTGCTGCTGTTGTTGCTGTTGCTGCTGTTGCTGTTGTTGTTGCTGCTGTTGTTGCTGCTGCTCAACATCGCTATTATCATTTCGCCGTTCATCGTTAGATATTGCTTCTACCACATCTACATCATCAGCTCGTGCCATCTGGACAGAACATATAATCTGTATTAATTTATGAATATATTTTATATTAAATTTTATAATAACGAATAATTTATATAAAATTCGTAGAAATATAAGCAAGTAAAAAATCGTCAATATTCATAGTTTATAGATTAAAATGTTTGTAGTTGATTTATTATAAAATACACTTCATTTGTTTTACATGTGTAAAATCGACAAAAAATCAACCTTTCCTGAAATTCTAGAAATTACACTCTAAATTCTTTTTGATCATCTATTATTAAAAAAGCTATTTATTATTTATATTAATCGTAAATGAAATATCTTTTATAAACATATGCAAACAAATTTTTAATTTGACTTGTATAAGGTAATTTCATATTCAAAATAAAGTTTCGGTTACAAATGAAAGTGATGAAAAACAGATTGAAAATTAATCAATCAGATGCTACATCTATCTGTAAATGCAAACATAAGGATCTTCCAAACTCATTTGCTATAAAAAATCAATGTAATTACCGAAATGAACTACAAATTACAGCACAGTTTTTTTGTCATATATTTATACATAAGTATTCTGATTTTGCCTTTAAAAATATTTTGAAAAATTAATAATGACTAAAATATATTTGTTTATATAAAATGTTTTTTTTCCTATATGCTTTATTTTATTCTACAATATAAATATATATATATATATATATATATATAATTCATAGAAATCAAAATACATTTATATAAATAATAAAATATGTACTTCAAACTATACATTTTTTATATAAATTTTATTTAAAGCTTGAATACAATTTTTATTATGAACCTCATTGAAATAAAAATTTTTCTTTCACATTAGTATGTATATATAAAAAAAAACTAAACAAAATAATTATAACTGAATCTATTTTGTTCTCATAGCTCATACTTCATTTAATATAAAATTATATATTCATACATACACTTATACTTCATATAAATAACTTTTTAAAATTTATATAATTAGATTTTTTAAAAAGTTCCAAATAAACTTTAAATGTTTGACTTCCATGAAATATATTAGCTACAGTAATACTAAAATTTCAAAAATTCACTTAAGAATCCATAATTATTCTAATGTTTTATGTTTACAGTAAATACAATATAATAAATAATAAATATAATATAATATTTATATTTCTAATAAATTATAGCAGTTAATAAGTAAAATGAATAAATATTTATTCTAGTACAAAAAAAACGTACTTTAAATTTGATTAAAATAATATTCGTTAAGCAATTTTCAATTATTGATAAAAATATTATGAATTTGATTTATTAGAAACCTTAAATTAACCATAATAAATAAAACATAATAGTATTTCGTCTAATATATAAGAGTAAATAATATATAGTAGTATATATTACATAATTCGCAACTGAACCGATCAATCGTTTGATATAGTAATGTATTTATTATTAGATTATTAGAAAAAGACGATATAACTAAATTGAATTGTATAGTTGACTGGTACAACAGTAATTATACTGTTAATATAACACTTTATTAAAGTTAGATACGAAAACGGTCTTGTCAGAAAATTGCACATTATTGAGTTACCGTACCAACTGAAAATAGAAACAAACAATAAAAAGTATCCCGTAAAGTCGGAACTCCAAATTAGGAGAGCATCGGTCCATATCTGTAACCAAGTAGAGAAGACAAGAAAAAAGAAAACGCTAAATGTAGGATTATGAGTAGGAAGAACAAGATTAGAGCAGTAAAGGGCGTAAAATAAAAGATAATGAAGAAACGATTTGAAGCCCTCGCTACATACTCTAATAACATGTCGAATAATAATTACCCGTTGCATTCTTGCGCATTGAGCATTTTAACCCACATAAGTTGTGTGGCATTCACACGCAATGCCGTTACCGACGCTCTGACCCAGAGCTAAGGGCGACAGTAGCTCGACTCGTTCGCTCTCAAAATGCTGACAGACAACAAGGAAAAATAAAGAGGGGGAAACATGAGGAAGAAGAGACCTCATCCAATAAAGTGGCCCAAGAAAAAAAGCAGAAAGAGAGAAGTGAGTTTACTCGACGAGGAAAAAAGAATAAAGCTTAGCCGTGTGCACGACGAATATTATCGATGTTTTCTCAGTGGGATATCTGATTTTTTAACATTTTCTTCTCTAATTTATGATCGAGATTGTATAACTGCAAACGATATACTCTAATCTATGTTACAAGCCTTTTTTAATGATTGTATTCGTGTGTTGTAAAGTACTTTATACGTGTCCTTAAATTTATATTGAATTCACTTGTTATTTAGTAAGGCTATTAAACTCATTCATGTGTATACTAAAATCCTAGTCATAAATCAAGAGAAAAGAAAAAATAAAAAGGTAATGGAATTCGAAAATTTATCCTAAAAATTGAAAACATACATTATGGATTAGTTGTTAAATCTAAGTACAAAAATATATTTTTTTTTTCATTTTTTTAAGTTTAACAACGAATCCATAATATCTGTTTTCAATTTTTAGGATAAATTTTCGATATATATATATATATATATATATATATATATATATATATAAATATATATATTTATTTATTTATGTATTTATTATATGTACATATGCACTTATAATTAACAGATTAATAGATATGTAAGTACATACAAAAATAAATAGATGACTAAAAACTAAAGATGAGTTTTCAATTCTATAAGACAATTTGTACTATACATACTTTTATTTATGCATATTTTGATACAAATCTGGTAATGATTTAAAATTTATAGAACACCGATATACTCTTATATCATTAGTTCATATACTTAAATCTAATAAAAGACAAAACTTATTTATAAATTATGGCCATGAGTGTAAAATATATAAAATATTTTCGTAAATTGTCATTGACATTAATAATATATATTAAAGAGTAAATTTTATACCATATTTATTGATGCTTAAATAAGTGAATGATTCAGTTGTTCAATTAATATAACCAGAAATTAAATGTTGGGCTATCTATTAAAACAATCGATATGTATTATGTTAATTTTAGTAATCGTTAGTAATTATAATATTATATAATATTCAAAATATGAAAATCAGATCAAAATACTTAATAAAATTTGAGACAAGTATAGTTTAAATTAGAAAGAAAAAATATGGAAAAAATTATATATATTATGTTTATAGATAGAAATATGAATCAATTGTAATTAGAAAAATACAATATTTGTACTTACAAGATATATGAACATATTGTACTACCAATCTATATTATATGTATAACAAAAAATGTATTTTTAAATTTACTTTAACAATAAAAAAAGCACATTTTTCTTAAAGTTGTTAAAATTTTTTGCAGATTTTAAATATTTATTTTATATTCAAAACTGAATGGTAATAACGTATAGAACTACTTTTACGTTATCGCGATGAAAAGTAATATAAAACATTATGTTCCCACCATAAATTTTGTATTTCTTTTTAATCTTAAAAGACTGTCTATTAATGCTATAAAAATATCACTACTATGAAGATCAAGAATTTTTTTAACTGCCGTGCCTCATAAGCATCAATATCTCTCTCTCTCTCTCTCTCTTTCTCTCTCTCTCTCTCTCTCTCTCTCTATCCGTCTCTCTATCTTTCTCCCTCCCTCATTTCTTCAGATTAAAAATTTTTAAAGCGTTCAGAGAAAACAGAATAACTATCTGCAACGCTTAATTCGAAAGATCGACCCCATCGGTTCGTGATGTACAATTCGCAAATATTGATAAAAGCGGTTAAACTCAGCAGTACGTAGAACAAAAAAGGCAGGTAGAGCAGACGGATTCCTGGCCGATTGACCCTGGTTCAGTTCGCTCGCCTCTCGAGTCTCGCGCCGTCGGCGACCCGTTATACACCTCGCGGGGTGACGCGCGTGACGCAATAGGCATCACCAAAGAACGAAAGAGAGAAAAGGAGAGAGAGAGAGAGAGAGAGAGAGAGAGAGAGAGAGAGAGAGAGAGAGGAGGCAACGGAGACAGAGAGAAAGCACAACCGTATGTTTCACCGTAAGGATGGTGTGCGCGTCCGTTCCTATTCGAGTGTCAGCCCCTTCCCGGGTGATCTTCCTCTCGGCGGCGACGTTTCTTGCGTCTCCTCGAAAACCGGGAGTCCCACGTTCCGGGCGCACCTTTTCTTCGAATATATAGTCGGGGGAAGAAATCCGGAATGCTCGCCACGGCTCCCGAGCTTCCGGCACTCAAAAACGCGAAAACAGATCAAGTGCTCAATCACAATTTTTGTCTTAAGATGCCACCTATGAGGCATTGCTTTTCCCGTTTAAGTTGTTGATTGAAACTTATTTATACGTTATTCAAAACACATTATACTAGTTTTAATAAGAGCGGTATTTCATTCGTTTTTTCCATTATTGTATAAGATTAATTTTTTTATATAATAGTTTGGTAATATATTGGTGACATGACTTTTGATTCAAATTGAATTTGTTAAAATTTTAGAAATTTAACTTTTAATGGATGAAATATAACTTGCAAACCTAAATTTAATACAATAAAATTCAATTATTAATTCTATATATATAATTAGTACAATGTAAACGCAACAAAAATCATTTAATTGTTAAGTAATAGCACGCAGAACAAGAGTTAAAATTAGTAGATATGAATTGAAAATATAAACCAAAAATTTTCTGTAAATTACTAATATGTGAATACTCTTGCAAGAAAAAAAATTAATTTTGATAAAATTTAATATTATATTAAACATTTTTTATATTACGTATTGACTACATCTGTAAAGTAACTTTAAAAATATAATGAAAATACGTTATTTAAAATCTTGTATTTAATTTATTATATTAATATATAAAATACGTTTTAAAATTAAATATACAATTTTATTTAAAAACCAAAGTTTTGTCATCACATTGTAACCTTCGCTTATTAGAAAACTTTACATTTCAATTACTTATTAAGCATAGATATAAATATGAATAAAAATTGACATTTTCATTAACTTATC